ATTCCTGCTCACTACGCTATGTTCAGAAAAGGATCTGGGAAAGATAACACATGCCTGATTGAGTCACACTGCCGAGGCAATGAGAAGAGAGGAATTAGATAGATGAAAGAAGATATTTAATGGCCCACAAGTGTAATGAAGCAAGTGATTTTCCGTGTTTACTTACAGATACTGAATATCTGCCATTGTTGAAAACACTTGGGAAGACAGAAATTGTGCACTGCTAAAAGTACCGGGAGAAACTGAAGATCAGAATTATTACATTTTGAAACAAAAGTGAGAGACAAAGCAGAATTTTAGGCTAGTGTTTATGTGTAAGACCACAATATTTCAGTTCCTGTATTAATAATTTCAGTTATTGCATTCATCAGGCAGTTGGAACTGTAGAAAAACCAGTTTAGTTCCACATCTAGCTGGAGAAGAACACCGTATAAATCTCTCAAGCCTGAAAACCATTATTTCAGAAATTTACGCTTTTCTGGTTAAATGAAAGACCATTATTTTTCAGTCTAGAGAAGAAACTCATCCACAATAAAACTCCTAATTTATATTTAAGTATTTTTCAAAATCCCTAAGAAGTAAATTACAAAAAATCCCTAAACAAAATTTTGTTTAGGCCTGAAAAAATTATTTAAATAAAAATGCAGCAAATAAATATTTTGCCTTGTTTAAAAATGTAATCTAAAACATATTTGTGTTAATTTGCAAATACTTTTGATCACTCCAAATTTTATTTTTTTCAGCAAATGCAGTATTTGTCCAGATGTCTTCTGTATCATCTACATACACAAATGACTTATGAATCATTGTTGATACATAAGATTTACTTTTTTTTGCGAGCTGACTCTTCAGACAATACTGAATCTTTTATGATACAGGATATAAATCACACTAAAAATACAACAATATCCTAAACACCTTCCTAATACTGGTTTAGTTGCTATGAAAATGCATGTAAATGGGAGAGAAAAAACACTCCTAAAATGACTTTGTTCAGTATTGTCTTAAGTAGAGTGTGGTGCGAACTCTAAAACAAACCAGAAATATGTAAAACACCTCACATACGTGTTTGTATACTGGAACTGCTGTTAGTAAAATAACCGGTCTGCTGACTGCACACCACTCTGCTATTATAGCAGTAGTAAAATGCTTGAGTTATCATCTCCCCTCACTATCACCTCCTGAGAAACAAAAGTTTTGCCTTATTTTAATTAATATTTATCAGCCATCTAATAAGCACATGCTTTTTACATACGGACGCAAGACTGCGAATAACAGCATGGAAAAAATTCCCCTGACATTAAAGGCTGCCTTGGCGTTCAGCCTCCCTCAGCCCCAGGAAAAAGGGACCCAAAGGGGAGGTGGGCTGTGTGCGGCCAGACCCACGGGCACTGCGATGTGCAGGAAGCCTGGAGGCTCCTCTCCCCAGGGACGGGCAGTGCACAGCTTCAGCAAAAACACTGTGTTCCCTCTGGGGGGTAAACTGGCACAATCAAGGCCAAACAGCTTGATTTGTAGAGATGGGTGGAAAAAAAGTCATTCAGGCAAAAAACACAATCATGGAAAAAATGGGTAGGATTCTGCTGCTCACTTAAACGTGTCTGAAGTTTTTCTCTTAATCACCGTAAGCCTCAAATCAGCAGAGGGGCCCCAGCACCACGAGGAGTGCCCTGGGCTTCACGTGTTGCTCCTTCCTAGAGCTGACCAACGTAACACAGACCCAGGGAAGAAAGGGGAAACACCTATGGAATTATTCTAGGCCTTTCCCAAGACAGTACGGAATTATACCCACAGCAGTTTTACTTCAGTATGTTGCACGGCCTGGGCAAAATATCAAGCAATGGAACTTCTACCTAAGCCTTAACCAGAAAGTATTTGCAGAACTACATCTTTTACTACACAGCCTTGTGGCCCCCCTCTCTCTCCCATTGTGTACGCAATGGCATCACTCTGGTTTTGAACACAAGGAGTTGTTCCCAGATGCTTCTCTCGTTTTTTGCAGTGACCTGTGTGTCCCAGCTTCTAGAACTGATATGACTACAGGTCAAGTGAAAAACCGTAGTTCTCAAATAAAGGGAAAGACTCAATGTTGATAAAAAGTGAAGTCTGTACACCAAAAATTCCTTACTTTATTGGCATGACACTAAAATGTTCAACATTGAAAGGTTCTATTTTTTTCATGTTAACTGTTAATAAAAGCAGTATCTTAATATAATACGCTGCTATTCAAGATAGCCTAGCACAAAAATGGGTGCATGTTCTCTTTGCCAGTGCTGGCAGACAGTAAAATAAAGTTTTCAAACACAGACACATTCTCAGCAAATTCACCTTACAAAAAGGCAGCAAAACAGAAGCCAATGGAAAACATATTATAAACAGGAAGAGAAACACCACTTAAGAAAGGACAACACTAATCTAATTAAACTAAATCCTCTCTCAGCATTTTAGATATGACTTGAGAAATTCTCTCCTATTGCATTCCTGGATTTTTTCTGACTTTCGGTTACAAAAGATAGTTCATGGGAGAGTGGCAGACATTGTTGTATGACCTACAATTCATTTTTGTTCCTGGCCTAGGGAAGTTTTGGCTGTGAGTCTACTACATTAATCCAGTCTGCCATCTAGTTATCACAAATCTCTTAATAATGCTGTTCTGCAAAATGTCCAGTCTGATACAATGACCTCTCCATTGTATTATGCTCTAAAAATGTTTTCAGCTCAGTGGCTCTGAAAGTGCTAAGATCAGGCTGACTGTGACAACTAATGTACTGATCAGCCTTTATTTTTCATTAACATTGCCTCTTCTCATCTTAATTAAGACTTCTAGCAATTATTTTACTCTGTGGTTCATCATATATGTTTATGTTATCCTCTACGTTGTCATAATTTCACTTACACTCTGTATTTATATGGCTGCTGTTTTTTATAACTTCCAAATAAACGTGCTTATTCCAAATAC